ATATTTTCAACATCTCTACACGACCACATTAAAAATTTAAAGAAAGTCTTTGAGAGATTAGATCAATATAATCTCCGAGTAACACTACATAAATAGAGAGGGCAAGTCATTCATAAAATCGTTTGGTTTCTGCGGCCAACAATCCTAAACGACAATTTTGAATTAATGAATGAACTACATGAAGTGGGGATAAAATTGCGGAAAATGCGGACCAATTACAAACAAAACCCATTTGACGTTTCGTACTATGAATACTAGAGCGCATTCGCGATTATGGTCGGGCTTGCTCTGGCAATATTTGCATCCTTCTTTATCTGGTTATCTTAACAAAGATAAAATGATTCAGGTGGGTGTTCCCAGACGAATACAACCAGGTTCCGAGATTTTAGGCAGTGTTGCCATTTTCAGCTAGCACAAATTCTTATTCAAATTTTATTGTGATAATAGATTATTATTTTATATAATAATTATTCCCATTCACTTTTGGAAAGCGCCGCGATATTTTGTGTTATAATTGTATATACATACCTATCTAGGTTTTTATATTTACAATATATTTTTTTCAATTTCCAATTCCATTTTCCCTGCAACTTAGGATAATTTATAAATATGGCACATCTACAGTAAGGGTCCGCAAGTGAGCTTAGAATGGGAGTCAATGTTTGAAGCATCTTTTAATCATAATAAACCTATATATTTCATGTGTTAATCTGAGAATATAATCTAAAAATTCAATTGGATAAATCGGAATTTTTACAAAAAACTGTAGTAAGAATTCTACAGGGACATTTTATACCAACACCTAAAGGTTTAAAACCAAATACAAATAAAATATCAGCAATTAAAAGTTTTTTAGGATTGGTAGGGTAGGTACTACCGTAAATTTATAAAGAATTTTGCCAAGTGAACAAAACCTCTGACAAATTGCTTGAAGAAAGACAGAAAAATAATACATGACACAGAATTTATAAAAAGTTATGAAACTTGTAAAAATGTGTCAATGAATGATCCAATACTACAGCATCCTGACTTCAAAAAACCTTTTGTGTTTACGACAGACGCATCCAATCACGCGATAGGAGCAGTATTATCACAAGGACCTATTGGATCCGACCTTCCAATTGCTTATGCAAGTAGAACATTGAACCCAGCAAAGTGTAATTACTCTACGATCGAAAAAGAATTATTAGCGATGGTTTGGGCTACTAAATACTTTAGACCCTATCTTTTCGGAAAAAAATTTGCCATCTTATCAGACCATAAACCTTTACCATGGTTATTTAACGTAAAAGAACCAAGTTCTAAACTAGTACGTTGGCGACTGAAACTATCAGAATATGACTATGAGTAACAATAAATCCTCCAATGCAAGTAAATGCTTGATAGATCATATCCTGATGCAAGATTAACTAAATCAGATGAAAAATTTCAAAGAAAATTAGGAGAAATGTTAAAAGATACGCCTCTAGATAATAATTAAAAAATATTACACTACTTTTATGCCGAAACAATCTTCTGTAGAAGAGAAAGAAAAATCATTAACTGAATCTCCTCAATCAATAATAATGAAAGAGGCATCAGAAGCTAAGGAAAGTCCAAAAATTAAGATAGTGTCACAGATAGTGAAACCTCCAAAAAATAAGAAAAAGGAAATTCTAATAGAAGAGGGTGAATCTTCGAAAATGCACCAAGAAGAAAAACCTTATTTTTCAATAAGATCTAAACAAAGTTCTGAAGATGAAAGAACAATAACAGCACCTTCAGAAAATGAACAAAAAATACATACATCACTGGAAGATCCAATATTAGGAGCACCTTATATTAAGAAACATTTAAATTTGTTTCAAAATCAAGTAATATTTAGATATTCCAATGATAATTCAATTCGGAAAGAAAGAATTAAACCATTTCCTAATAAAAGAATAATAATATTTTTCCTACCAAATAATCCAACACTACAACAAATAACTGATCTTGTTATCATTTAATGCCAATTCTTTTACATTGTTTATATCTAACTCATTCGTCGAAGATATAATAGACAATGATACTTGACAAGAAAAAATAAAATTCTTCCATGAAACTAAAACGTCTCATCGAGGAGTAACGGAAAACGTAACAGCTTTGAAGAAGCGATATTATTGGCCTCATTTTGGCAAAGATGTCCAAGCAATGTGAAAGCTTTAATAAAACTAAATACGAACCTCAACCGTATAAAATAATATGTAAACCAACACCGATTGGAGCAGAACCTTCCGAACATCTATATATTGCTACTTACATGATAAATAAAGACATTTTTTTAACTATTATAGATAGCTTTTCAAAGTTCGGTCAAGCTATACCGATAACAACTAAAACAGCCGTAGAAATTGCATCACAACTTTTAAAATACTTTCGTGATCACGGAATACTTCAAAGAATTACCTCGGATAACGGAGCAGAATTTCAGAATACAATAATTACTGATTCATGTACACTGTATAAAATTGAATTTCACTATACAACTCCGAGAAATCCAACTTTAAATAGTCCTAACGAAAGATTCCATTCAATGTTGCGTGAAAGCATCAGAAGTCCACAACTTATAAATAAAAATAGGTCAATGAGTGAATTAATGACAATTGCTATTTAAAACTATATTAATAGTATTCATGGCACAACGGAATATACACCCTTTCAAATAATAAAAGGAGATTTAAATTATGCTATGCGAATAAAGCAATCACCAAACAAATTATTGACTGATTACATTAATAATGTAACTGATTTCTTAACTAATTTAAATAAGGAAATTCAGGAAAAACTTTCATTAAAGCAAAGTAAGACTTTGAAAAAACGTAATGAAAATCGTAAACAGGAACCTATCTTGGAAAAACCCATATTCATTAAACAATTTAATAGAGACAAAATAAGCCCACACTATGACAATAAAATACAATTACAATTTAGAAAGCAAAATGTGAAACGGCAATATCATATTTCAGGTGCACAAGAATGGAAGCCACAGTGTTCTTTATTCTAATGAGAATAACAAACGCCTACGTATTAACTACGATGAAAAATCCCATACTACCTATTTCCTTAGGAACCACCTATATGACTATACAGCACAATACAGCCTATTATCACATTAATACCACGATTATCTTACAAAATTTACACAAACTAGACACTACAGTATCAAGTTTAATTAAAACATTAAATGAGACGATATGGTCAGATCATTTTGGAATTTTGTTCCATATAAATATTGAAACTAACCTTATACAGATTAAAACAATGAAAAACACCATCAAAAATCTAAATGATAGAAGAAAAAAATAAAAGGGGTTTATTAAATTTTATGGGTACAGTGCAAAAATGGCTTTGCGGTACTTTAGATGCTGAAGATGGTGCTAGATATGATTCTTATATCAAAACACTTAATGAAAATCAGGAAATTCTTGACAAAAATTTGAAAAATCAAGCTCAAGTACTAAAGCAAGCTACTAAGACTTTTCATGATCAATTTTTGAACGTTGAATCGAACCAAAATATTATAATAAATAAACTCAAAAACATTTCAATGGAAAATCAAAATTTGCATGCAATGTTAAATTTAAATATTATTTTAAATAACATAAATATGCAAAGCAACAAAATAAAAGACTTAATAGTTCATATTCAATTAGCAAATAATCTCGCACAATCAGGTGTAATGCATTATACGATTCTGCAACATAATGAATTGAATCAAATTCTAACAAAAATACCTAAGTCTCAGCAAATACGTTTTGATAATATTATTAAATATTATGAGACAATGTCAGCTCAGGTGACAATCCAAAATGAATTGATTATTTTTGTTATTTACATACCAATAATTGAACTAAGACCTTTTTTATTGTATAAAGTATATCCAATACCCATCCAAGATCTTACCATAAAATCCGTATAGGTATCCTTACTTACTACTCTCTACGGAAAATTTTTACAATGCTTTATGGGTATGCCCTAAAGTTGAAAATACTTACCTATGTAATCAGGACCATCTGAAACGAGATGACTCATGCATCTATGATACACTCATAAATGGACCACAAAAATGCCCATTTCAGAAAATATCCTATCAAGAACCAACAGTTAGGCAGTTACCTGACGGAAAACTACTTGTTATACCCAAAAAGAGCTTAACAATTATAGCTCAATGTGACAGAACCAACTATATGGACATTATCAAAATTGCAAGGTTAAAATACAAAACCAAACATTTTCAAAATTAATCGAAAACTTCAACTTTGAACTAAAATTTCCAAAGATTGAGATCCCTTCTGCACCAGAAAACATTACAACATTGGAATTAAAGAATATGAACCACGAAGTTCTTAAGAATGGTACCTCTACGGAAGCTTTCATTTAATCAAAGTTATTTATTCAATTATATACTGATAGGATTAATCATAATTATAATAATTTTACTAATACTTTCATATTTTTGTAAAGAGATCAAACAACGAAGAGCTACAAATGTTCAATGCTCAGTACGCTACAACAACCCCAATTTGCGACATACTAAGGAGGGAGGAATTTATTGTCAAATTCCTAGTTATGTTGATTAGATCATTTGTTTATTTAAACTAAAAATGTAAACGCATAATGGAAAATCCCTTCCTTGTAGGTGTTGTATATCCAGAAGCTGCTTATAGTAAACGCTATTTTTAAATAAAAGAACGCTGCAACGCCAGTAGTTAGCTTTTGTTTTCGAGTACCTATTACTTGTAGCAAATTGCTCACGTATTCCTTATGTTACTTTAGATTTTAATAAAATAGTTTTTCAAAATCTAAGTCTCTGATTTGGAAACATATTTTACATACCTACTTATTTCTTTGCTTTATTTCATTGCTGAAAAATATTAAATCTTATATTCTCAATTTCGATTCATTAACCTCTATCTATGTATCGACCCACGAACCACAAGAACAAAGAACTGAGGCTGACTTATTTTAATTTGTTGCAGGTTTCTGCTACGACTAAAGTAGGCGATGGTGAATCGACCCCAATAGTGGCGCAGCAAACGAACTCACGAGCGCCATCTAAAATCGCTTCATTCAGTCAAATCCTGCGTCAGCCAAACAAATCAAGAATTATGCTGCCTTGCGTGGCAGTAGGAAACCCAAAGCCGAGAACTAGATGGATCCACCAGAATAAACCCATTACTTTCAGTAATTTTTATGCTGTTACCCTTGATGGTCATTTACATATTCATGGTAAGAAAGTTATTTCACTTTATGTTGATTTTAGACGAATCTAAAAAAAAAAAACATCTTTCTAACGGTACAAATTTTGTGCTTTACGATTCCTCATTTGGCATTTCCTTTTCATTTTTTACACTAGAGAAAGGAAAAATTGTCACCCTACTGGTTAACAGAATAGCGGCAAAGCTGATATAATTTTAAAGCGTTTTGTACACCGCTTGAATAAAAATTTCTTTTCATTATCAGTAGGCCAGTGCAAATAATTTTGAATTGGCAAAAATTTTTATAAAGCTGCAACTATCAAAAATAGTTAGCGTTAGTACTCATAGTTAACATACCAAAAGTCCCCATTCGTCCGGTTGTTGCGTCATTAGAAAAAACAATCCGCCATCTTGAATTTCGGCACTTTCCGGAAAAAATCGTCAAAAACGGTACTTTCTATCGAAAAAACTCAAGAGAAGAAAATTGAAAAGAATGAAAAAATAAAGGAGGTATCATAATAACTGAATGCGTACCATAACGTAGTAATAATCTAGAATTTTTTGAATTTTTGGAAATTTAGCAAAATCAAGGGAACCAGACCATAATGCAGTTAATGCATTTTTTCAGTCCCAATAAACAAATAAAATTTCCTTTTAACATTTATTTAAATAAAAAACACTGTTAAAGTGTTACCTATACAGGGTGTCCCAAAAAGATACCGACAAACTTTAAGGGGTAGTAGGGGACATCAAAACAAGCATTTTTGTTTATATAACATATGTCCGCAAATGAGCCAGTTGGGCTGTAGAGCAAAAAAACTGTTTGATACTTTTATTCTTCGCAATAATTAAATCACTGTTTACTTATTAATTTTGCTTTATTATCAAAAAAACTATTGTTTACAATAATTGTTCAAAATGTTGACCATTTACTTCAATGCAAAGATTACACCGTCGGGTCATTCACTGAAAAGTTTAGTCTACGAAACACCTGTTCGTAATGAGGAAGATCTGATAGCAAGGATACTGGCGAGTTGAACCCATGTAGAAGCTATTCCCGGAATATTCCAAAGAGCTCACGACTTGAACAATTATTGTAAACCATAATTTATTTGCTATTAAAGCAAAATTAATAAGTAAACAGTGATTTAATTATTGCGAAGAATAAAACTAGATACCAAACAGTTTTTTTGCTCTACAGCCCAAATGGCTCATTTGCGGACATATGTTTATATAAACAAAAATTCTTGTTTTGATGTCCCCTACTATCCCTTAAAGTTTGTCGGTATCTTTTTGGGACACCCTGTATATTAATTTAATTCAACTACCCTCGTATGAAATAATAATGAGTAATCAGAGATTCAATACAATAATACTACTGAACGCAAAAAAATTGACAAGGTCAATTTTACAATGTCTTGGCCAAAAGACAGTATAGGTAATAAGCAAATTTAAATTGACAATTTAATTCATACACAAAAAATCCCATAAGGACTGGTGTTTTTGTCATTAGAGAGTTATTGGAAGTGAAATAAGGTCCAGCAGTAATAATGCAAATGCTATATTGACATCTGCGCTTGCGCAGTTGCGCCGTCGAATAAGGCTAGTTTTATTAACGTTTGTGCTAGACTTTATTACTGCACGAATGAAGTCACAAAAGAACAATATTATAATTTGACCTTATTTTGACGGATTTTTGAAATTTCTCAGCAAAGCAAAGCTGTCAGTAAGTAAAGTAAGGTTAGAAATAGAATTAAGGAACAGCCGTATCTTGAGGTGTTCGTGATTGTGAACAATAACTGTTTTTTCCCAGCCGCGTTTAGGTAAAGCGCTATTTACCTAAATAGGGTAGTTGCCTTATTACTGCTAGCTTTATTTTGAAATCTCCAATAACTCTCTATTATTACAGCGACTATTTCACTAGAGTGTATTACACCGGTTATACAACTCATTGTACATTATTCCCATATGATACGAGAGGCTTAAGAAGTGATAAGCCTTTTGGGATTATCGCGCTTGGTGGCAATATTGTTCATTTACATAATAATGAACATTAATAAGGTATCAAAGTTTAGTACGCTGTTATAACCTTTTGAATACCACTCGAAGTTTCAGGATTGCCTAATACTTTTACCCGACACTCAACGTGTTACCAGCAACGCGTTTCGTGACAGGTAAAAGTATTATCCGGTAATCCTGAAACCTCTTGTGGTATCACATTCGACAATAAATTCGGTATTCACCTGACAATATTGCTACCTGGACAATACCAACAACATGGTATTTCAGAGACCATTTTTTGACATTGTCAAACTGATATTTTTGATTTGAAGTTTTTATTCATATTTTTGCATTCTATTTATTTTCAAAATCTTACGTGAAATAGTCATGACCAATACCACTCGAGAAAAAATTGTGTAGGCAAAATTGCAGTGTTGCCAGGCCTAAAATTTGTAAAGCATGAAATTTGAGTTATTAAAAACATGAGAAAGCATGAGATTTTTAAAATAGCTGAAAACATGAGAGGCCATTAAAAAATAAATAAAAACAGTTGTTTAAAACTCGTAATCTTGTTTCATGCCATCTTTGGTAAAAAAAAACAATCAAAATATGCAAATTATCGACGAAAATACATCACTCACAAAAAAAAAGGGAACCTTCCTTAGTACAGAAGACAGAATGTGTTGTATCAATGTTAAAATTTCGTACAGTTATTGGACCCAATATATTGTTTCGTTCTTAAAATACCAGCTATTGTACTTTGGGTTTAGGCGAGGTGGTTTTTGGACTTGATCTTATTTAGGCTAATTTGTGAAAAAATCTTCTTACGTGTAGCACTTAAGTGTGGTTAATTACATACATTTAGCATGAAATTTGCTAAGATTAGATGTTGGGGACTCATCCATCACCTCTTTTAAGTTTTGAAACTGTTAACCAGAAATATTCACAACAAAATACAAAAAAAGAAAATTATTTAATGTGGAACCATAAGATAAAAAATCATGAGATTTTTACTTGGAAGCATGAAAGCATGAGATGGACAATGAAAACATGAGATCTCATGTAAAATCATGAGGAATGGCAACGCTGCAAAATTGTTCTCAAGGTGTTATTCAAGTTTGTTGCTTGCCCAATAAATGCTATAGCAAATAACGACCTCTACTGCATCTTAAGTAGGGAAGAGGATCATGCAACACCTCTATCAATGACCACTGTACTAGGAAAATTGAATAACAATACAATTAATATATTGAATAATTTTCTGAAACACAATAAGATAAAGCTTTAGCTTTACAACCCCAAACTATCAGAATCCATAACACAAACGAAAAAATAAAAATAAAACTTGAAAAAAAAAATAAAATAAAAAATAAAATTATCCTTCACAAATTCCAAAGCATAAACAATCCTCTGTTGTGTATGTCCCAAACTAACAGTCCATCACCTGAAGATAATTATTGAAAATCAACGAAGAAAGAAAAGAACAGAAGAGAGAAGATAAGAAATACACATAGGTAGTGAAGAAGATGAAAGTGCAACGACGATGGTCAAGAGCCAGATAAAGTTGCTGCACAAGAACAAATGAGCTGGCAAATTGCCCTTGAAAGGAGCAGAAGCCAATAACCATACAAAAAAAAAAAAAAAAGTTTGTTGCTTTTCTGCAATTTCGCTCGTGACATTTTTGATAAAATCTATTTTGTCAAAAATGTCATTCGCGAAATTGCCAAGCATTAAACTTTCATACCTTTCGAAAATTTTGCCGACAAATTTTTTTCTCTTGTGATATTATATATGAAAAAAATTTGCCCTAACTTTTCCAGCGACAAAACTGAACCTAGCTTGACATGACCAGCAAAATTTGTCATTTACGTAGGTATCCAATAAATTGTCTTACCAAATACACTCAAGCATTTTTTTTGTCGAAAAAGAAACTTTACATTATAATTCGAGCTTTGTTGTATTTAAGCAATTTAACTCAAATTGCCAGGCAACAAAATTCTCATTGAAATATCAAGTTAACTTTGACAAAAAAAGGCTCTAGGGTAATTAATTATAAGTGACAATTAACTTTCTAATACCAAATAACATCATGAGAGTGAACCAAGGCCTTTCTGTTACCATTCAACAGTGACTACAATCTAAAACTGGGATACGATTTATTCCATCTTATTCGAATTGCTCTTCATCTACGGAAATTTGTTTGTTGTCACAAGAAATGTCATTACAATTACCACATAGGATTGAACACGGAATATTCGACTTTATACATGTGCATAATTTGTTACATCCTGACTTGCAGTTGCAATATATCATATTCAGAACAAAATCAGGTGCCACTGCGTTTGACATAGTTTTTGGAACCAACATATCTTTTTTTTCATCCCAACCCCAATATGCTGGTTCTTTTCTATTATTAAGCCAATATTGAATTTGTAAGTAAGTCCTATAGTAATGATTCTCATCAGCTCCGTCTGAAGTTGGAGGCAAAGTAGCTGACTCAAAATTCTTGCTAAGAACTTGACGAGATGTAAGGGTTTTGTACAGGGCCGTATCTAGACCAAAATTTTGGGGGGGGGTTAGGCAAAGTGGCAAAAAAAAATTGTTACACTAGTAATAAAAAAAAAAAAAAATAAGTATTTAATAAGTTTTGTTTGTTTTTAAGTTAAATTTTTTGAATTTTAATATTTTTCGGGGGGGGGGGGGGGGTTGAACCCCCAAAACCCCCCCCTAGTTACGGCCCTGGTTTTGTATTTATAATATCTCAACTGATCTAAATCATCAATCATCAAACATTTTGTTTTGTTTTGCGATTTTCGCGCCTTAAATAATTAAATTATCAAAACCGAATAATTAACAGAATTGAAAATTCATAAGTTGATAGATCGCTATGAACAAAATTACTTCTCATTGTATCTAATAGATTCTTTATTTCTCTTCAATTTTCATATCTTCATTTTTTTCAAAAAAATGTACCGTTTTCGAGTTATTCGTGGTTATTCCCAAACAGTGCTGAAATTCAAGATGGCGGAC